CCTTTTTGGAACATCAATTCTATTCCTTCCTAGGACAGTAGTTTCCTGTACTTAATTTCCTCAAATGTGTTATTGAATCATTTAAATATCATTAATCTTAGTTGTTTAGCTATCTGCATGCATTTGTTATCTCAGCACTAAGGTTTACCTAATAATACCAAATGTACACATTTGAAATATAATTTCAAGGATAATATTACTCTGGTTTACATTTCAATTCTATTCCTTCCTAGGACAGTAGTTTCCTGTACTTAATTTCCTCAAATGTGTTATTGAATCATTTAAATATCATTAATCTTAGTTGTTTAGCTATCTGCATGCATTTGTTATCTCAGCACTAAGGTTTACCTAATAATACCAAATGTACACATTTGAAATATAATTTCAAGGATAATATTACTCTGGTTTACATTTAGTCATCCACTCGAACAGTGGTCAGCTCCTCAAACATTCCCTTTCTTTTCTTTTTCTATGGTTTAAAACAGTGGTGCCCAGACTTCTGGCCCTGTGTGCCGGGTATGTGGCACAGGGTGCGTCCATGAGCCAGATCTTGCATGGGGTCAGCATGTAGGGTCACTCCTTGCCATGTTTTTGTGGTGCTGTAAATCCCCCAAGATGGTTTTAGTGCTTCAGATAAATGCTTATCCATAGTCCCTGACTTTCCTATGTCAATCCAGAGCATTTTAAGAGTTATTTCAAAAGTTTAGAATATTAAGGAAATATTTGTACTGTGTTTCAAGAGAAAAATAAAGAGAACATTATAATGTATCTCAAGACTTATTAGTATTTTATGTAAACCATTTCTTATATCTTTCAGCTTGTCAGAGATGATACAGTATATTGTCATTTCTTTTTACAGGCTGATTTATTACTTCTGTCTGGTAGTGAACCACATGGTCTCTCTTACATTGAAACTGCAGAGCTTGATGGGTAAGTTTTAACTGTTGCTATAGCTAATAAATACCAAAGTATGCTTAAATAAAAATATAATGTGTGTATGTATTGTCTCTACACGCACCAGCTATTGATCGTAGATAGAATATATTTCTAATATTTTTGTGTTCCCTTAACATGTTCATGTTCAGGTGTTAAATGCGATCAGAGTTTTAAATATGATTATCATAACAAATTGCAGAGATCAGTCTGTTGGTCCATTTCAGGTGCTTCTAGAAGACAATAATGAGGCAGGTCACCCACTTTTTTGTTTACTGTAAACCTTGTTTGTGGGTACCATACACTCATATACTAGGCTTGTGCAAAATGGAACTATTTGATTGGGATTTGGAGGCCAGTGATTCAATTTGGAAATTCAGCTAGCTTTTCCAACTCAATTTGGCCGAATCGGCTTCGGAAGATTTGGGGCCGATTCAGAGAGATTTGGAGATCTGGCCATAGAGTATAATGGGTAATCAATGAAATATCTATAACTTTGGCTGATTTGGATGAAACTTGCAGGTACGATAGCACTTGCTAAAGGCATAAAGCCTGCCAAGGTTCAAGGAGATAGTTATAGGGTTTCTGGGAAACTGCACCTCAAATTCTTGAAAGCAAAACTCATGTCATGTGTGTATGTTAAGCCACAGTGGGGTGAAACCTGCAGGGATTGTAGCCCCTGCTGAGGACATGAAGCTTGCCAAGTTTCAAGGAGATAGGTCTAGGGGTTTCTGGGAAACTTCACCTCAAGCTGCTGATGAGCAAAACTCATGACATGGGTGACACTGTGTGTGTGTGTGTGTGTGTGTGTGTGTGTGTGTGTGTGTTAAGGCACGGGTGTGAAAACTGCAGGCATGCAGCCACAAAGCCTGCTAGCTGTCAAGGAGATAGGTGCAGGGTGGAGTCTGGGTTCTGGGGTTCTGCACCTCTGGCTGCTGTCAAGCAAAACTTGTGACATGGGTGCTTGTGTGACAGACTGTGTCTGTCTTAAGGCACAGGGAGGTGAAAACTTCAGGCCTGCTAGGCCCTGCTGTGGCCATGAAGCCTGCCAGCTGTCAAGGAATTGGGTGCAGAGGGAGTCTGGGTTCTGGGGTCCTGCACCTCTGGCAGCTGACAGGCAAAACTCGTGACATGGGTGGGTGAAAATGTGTGTGTGTGTTAAGGTGCGCCCTCACTGGCACTGGAGCCTCTACATCAACATGGTAGTGTGCCCCAATGAGGCTTCCTCCTCCCCTAGACTCTCAGCCTGGTCCACCACTTTACATGACAACAGGTAAGACAATCTGGTATCTTTCTGGTAGGGCAGCTGTATAGTTAGAGAAATGTATTTTAGCAAGTTTTGGGGTTGAAAAACCCTTTGTCAGGCTGAGGAAGCACCTGTAGTTGGTGTGTCTGTTGGTCCTGGATGGAAGGAATAGTGAAAAAGCCAGAGGCTGGCCTGGCATGCAATGCAGGCAAGAAAGCCAGTCAGTGAAAATGGAAATGGAGGTGTCAGGGGGTGAGGGACAGGCTGGGGGAGGGGGATGTAGCAGCCCAGGTAAAATTGCAGAGCTATCTGGGGAGTCAGGATGTCTGGCACGTTATAGCGTGTCAGAATTTCACTGTCTATATTGAGTCCATGAGTTTCTGTACCTACTACCTAGGAGGCTGATGAAGTGCAGTTCATAGGTCCGGCTCTGAAAAGTGGTTTGAAAATTCAAACAAGTACCTAACCTTATCACCAGAATGGAAGCCAACTTCCTACAGCTCAAAACACAAAACCTACCAACTATTTCCAGTACCTATGAGTGACTGGTGCCTCCTGAATCTGGGGGGACACCCACAGAAGCCACTGACGGTGGCGGCCCTGTCAGAGGGGCACCAGCCCTACCAAGAGCATCAGTGTCAGCCATTGGGGGGGGGGGGCATGTGCACCCCTAAAGTAGACTATGCCAGTACTCCCACAAAGTGCACACCAGAATCATCAAAGATAACAATACCCAACTACCTGTGGGGACACAGTCCTCACCAAAAAAACACTCTGCCTCCAGCCTCTCTGATCCTGATCCTGCCTGATCCTGAGACGGAACAATTTACAAACCAGTTTTCACAGCTGGGCCTATGAACATCACTTTATCAGCCTTCTAGGTACAGAAACTCATGGACTCAATATTGATTAGACAGTGGAATTCTGACAGACTACAACCTGCTGGACATCTTGACTTCTACCTGTAGTAGCACTTCTACCTGTGCTACTACATCCCTCTTCCCCCAGCCTGTCCCCCACCCCCTGATGCCTCCATTTCCATTTTCACTGACTGGTTTTCTTTATTATTCCTTCTGTGGTGGGCCAGCAGGGGGTGCTCCTGCACTGAGCCACCCACCTCACTGTGCCTGACCCCCTTCCAGGCTCTGAGTGCCTCTCTAAGGGCACCTTATGTCTGGCTGACTCCCTTCTTGGAGCACACCCACCAGCCTGGGGGTATTGCTGCCACCACCCAGGGACGGGCTTGATCCTGGCACTGTGCCTCCTGGGAAATACAGGACCAGTAGCCCTCAAGGTTATTTGACTCACTTCAAGAACTTGGAGTGCTTCCCTCAGTCGGAAGCACAAGTAGCGGTCTCCCTTACTCAGCTGAACCAAGGGGACCCCAAGGCATAATCTAGACCCACTCCCAATAAGTCTTCCATGCTAGGTACAAAGGAGAGCTTTATTGGTTACAAGAAGTAGGGTTGGAATTAGGGTACAGAGTTGAGTAGTATCAGAGAAATCCCATAGAGCAAACAGGGTGGCTGGGGTAGCCTTTGATCACTCATCTGAGTTACTGCAAGCTATATATCTAGTTAGATCTCAGGTAACTTACTCACAAGTATCATCCAAAGGTAGGTGGAGATTCCCTCTGGAGGTAGGCAGTTCATTGGTCATGAGTTGAGAGAGAGAGAGCAAGTTTCAGATGGTCCAGCTCTGCTCTCTCTCTGAGTTTTCATCATGGCTACTGTCCTTCCTCCTGGGCAGTCCTTAACTTATATAGCCCTTATGACCTCATTTACCTGGTCCAATGGAGGCCAGCACCTGTTGGCTGCCAGCCAACCAATTTGAAATGCATCACTAGTTGCTGGGCAGACTGGCAGAGTCTCTAGCCCACTCCCAATCAGGTTGGCATTGCTTAACAATAGGGACCGTAAGCCCCTCACCCACGTATGTGATGCCAGTCATAGGCAGAAGGGAGCAGGTTTCTCCACTCTCTCAGGAATGTATCCAAGTCAGGTTACAATTCGGGGTTACCTAAAGAGCCCATATTAATCAAACTGTCACAGAGCAGAGTTTTTGGGGAGAGACAGAGGCGGCATTCTTCCACACCTTTCATCCAGGATCAGCAGACATACCAACTGCAGGTGCTTCCTCAGCCTGATAAAGTGTTTTTCAACCCAAAAGCTGGCATCCTAGGCAGCTAAGCTGAGGTCACCTGGAGCCCCACAACTCCACTGCAACCAACAAGCCTCAGGCCTGTCAAAGACGTGACAGGTCTGGGCTTTCCCCAGCCAGGACCGTGTCCATTCATGCATTAGCTTGAGGTTATGGCACCTCCTACCCATCTTTCACCAGGAGGTCACTGGTCCTGGCATTTATGGGGTTGCCATGCTGCCAGCAGTCCCACCAGGGCTCCCTACCCTGGCAGGGGTGCAGTTTTAGTAGTCATGCCCAGGAGCTAGGGTCTCCTCTTTCCCCATAGCCCCAGCCCATACCTCTAAGTTTGTCCTGGCATGGTAGTGAGCTCAATGGGGACATGTTCTTGCCCTGCTGGCTGGTGATGCAGTGAATGGTATGCCCCCTCAAGCTGATAGTGGGGCATTAACTGGTTTTTAAAGAATGAAAAAAGGAAATAGGTGCAGACGGAGTGAGGAGGGTGGTACTCAGTCCATCTGCAGGTGGAACTTGGGGAACCCCAGCAGCAGGAGCTTCACTTTCAAGAACACCAGCTGCTACACCAAACCAGGATCCAACCAGGTGTGGTGGGCCGTCACAACATCCCCAGCAATGCTGAACACCCTCTCACTTGGAACACTGCTTGGTGGATAGGACAAGTGTTGCTGGGCAACCATGGCCAGATCTTGCCACATCTGGCTGCGGCTTGCCCAGTAGGCCAAGGGGTTGCAGTCCAGTGGCTCCACATCCTCGGTGAGATAGGTAGCTACCAAAGCCTTGGTGCTACCTGCCCGAGGCTGGGGCCTGGTGCGTTTGGAGTCCAGCATTGAAGCCATGCCCTTGGCCCACATTGGCAGTGGTTGGAGTGGAGGAGACTGGCTGGTGCTGGTGCTGGGAGTGCTGGCATGGGAAAGTGGATCCCCCTCTTCCACATCCCCTCACCTCTTCCCTTTTTGCCTCCCTGACTCTGTTGACCAGCACCTGCACCCAGTGATGGAGGGTTTTGGTGCAGCCAGTGCACATGCTCCCCTTCACCTTTGGGTCGCACAAGCATGCCAGCATGTGGACTGTACTGGACCGCAAGAGATCCAGCCATCTCCTGATGCCCTCCATCAGCCACCTCACCAGTGCCTGCACGTCTGGTGACAGTGGCTTGCTCCAGCTAGGAACATTTTTTCACTTGGAACTTCTCCATTTGGTTCTCCAGTTCCCTCATTATGGGGATCACCTGGCTAAGGAGGGCATTGCCAGCACTGATGTTCTCAGTGGTCTTGAGGAAGGGCTTGAGGACCACCCAGATCTGTGAGAATGGTACCCCACTCAGTTCTGTTAAGGGGACCGCTGATCCCGATGTCCCCAAGCAAGTCCATGTCATGGATGGCCTTCTGTTGCTCCACCAGCCTCTTGAGTATCAGGTATGTAGAGTTCCACTGAGTCTCCACATCCTGCATGATTTTGTGCTGCGGGATGATCAGCTCTGCCTGTTTCTCCCACAGCATCTTGCCCCTTTTGACACTGTGGTGGAAGGTAGCCTGCCACCTTCCTGTATTTTTAAATCAGTTGCCTAGTATGGTAGTGGTGGCACCATCACGGGCAGCTTTGTCCCCCTCCAAGACATCTTGGACTGTGAGGTGTGCAGCCTGTGTGCAACACAGTGGATGCCAACAAAGTTGGCATCATGGATGGCCTTGACCATATTGGCCCCCTTGTCGGTGACCATGAACCTGCGGGTAAGCTTGGCCTGCCCAACGAGCCACCCTTGTACCATGTGGTTCATGGCCACCATGATCTCCCTTGCTGTGTGGGACTCATTGATCACCTCAGCTAGGAGGAGAGCCCACTGATGGCCTGACTGATCACACCAGTGCCCTGTGAGGGAAAGGTAAGCATGATCTCCACCCTGGCTGCTCCAGATGTCCGAGGTGAAGTACAAGGCCACCTGTGGACTTGCCTTGTGCAGCTCCTCCCTCAAGTACTCCCTGCATGCCTCATACAGGAAGGGCACCACCATCCTGCTAAAGGTGGTATGTGCAGGCACTTGGTAAGGTGGGGCCATGAGCCACCTGAACCCTGGCCACTCAACTAAGGAGAAGGGCTTGCTATCCAGAGCAAGCATCTCCCCAGTGGTCTGGGTGTTCTCGCTCACCTTGGGAACATGCCCCACTCTGTCTGCATCTTTCCCTCACTGCTCCAGGGTGGCCTGTCTCTGCTTTGTGGGGACGGGGGCTTTGGAGTGAGCGGGGGACTTTCCTTTGGGCATGCTTGCACTGGTGCCAGGCTGAGCAGGAAGAAGGGCAAGGGGGGTGATGCCTCCTGAGATGCAGCAGCATCACCATGGTGGTGAAGAGTTTCACGTCCTTGCCCCGGCTGATCTGCCTTTGGCAGTGCTGGCAGATAGCAAACCTGGGATCATCTGCCACCTCAAAATGATCCCATACTATGCTACTCCCCCACTTCTGGGTTGTGGATGGGGATCCTGCCTTATGCCTCTCCTCAGCAGGCTGAGGCACAACAGTAGGAGGAGCTGACTCAGCTGAGCCACTTGCCTGAGCCTCCACAACCTCAACTTCAGCCTCCTCTGAGGTGCTTTCTGGAGAAGGAGACCTGGATCTAGGGGAACTTTGAGGGGTGTGGAGCACAAACTCAGATTCTTCCTTGGTCCCCAGAATTGCTTTAGCCAGGGTGCTCAGGTCCCCTGGTTCCAGCTCCAGCACCAGCTCCTCCTCTGGCAGTGGGAGGCTCATGCTGGGAGATGAAATTGGGGTGGAGGAGACAGTCATTCTGCTGCCGGTGCCTATTTCTGGAATTAGGAGAGGTGGTGCAGGTGCAGGGGCATCAGGTACTGCTTCCACCTCCTTGCTTCCACTGGCAGCAGAAGCCTCATGGCTGCTTGAGAAGAGGATGCATCTATGTTTGGGGTGTGTGGGAGGGGAACTTGCAGCTCTAGCTCTCCCCCTACCTCCTCTAATCCCTCTCCCTCCCCTGCCAGAAGACCTGGCACCTGCCTTTCTAGCACGCTTCATATTAATCTTTCCTGTGCTGCAAAAGGTGTGTGTGTGTCTGACTTCTGGGTTGTGTGATTTGTTTGCTTTGTGTTGTGTGTAGTGGACTGCGGCTTGCTGATGATTTTTGAGTATAAATAACTGTATGGTGTGTGTTGTTCTCCTGTGATGTGTGACTGACTTCTCCTTCTTCTCGATTGTATGATTTGTTTGTTTTGTGTTGTGTGTAGTGGACTGTGGCTTGCTGATGATTATTGATTATGAATAACTATATGGTGCATGTTGTTCTTCTGTGATGTGTGACTGATTTCTTCTTCTAAGACTCTGAGTTCTGTGTTGTGTGTGTTAATCTCAATATGAATCTCCATCTGACTTCTGTGCTGTCTTTAGTCTGTATGTAAACTAACTATAATAATATTAATAACTAATAACTATATATAATCTGAATCTCTTCTTCGTCTATGAATATCTGACTTTTTCTTCTTCTACAATGTGTGTGGTGGATCACACTGCCAGGGAAAACACTGAGCTGTCTCTTTAAGAAGTATTGGAGAAAAAAAAGAAAACAAATATAAATTGAAAGAAATGAATTGGATAAGTAAAGTAGAGGGATTCTAAGATAAACTAAGCTAAGCTATATCCTATCCAATCCTTTCTAAGAACAAAAAGGAGCAGGCAACTGACTAGGAAGCCAAGCCAGTCCAGTACCTTTCTGAAGCTGTTGCTCAGAACCAGCTCACAAAAGGCACAGAAAGCCTGCAGACAGAGGCTTTTGTGCTGTTTTTATGTCCCTCCCCCAGACACTGTGATTGGAAGGGGACTCAGGGAGAAATCACACTCACTGGCCAACTAAAGCTTTCACTGCCTGCTCCCCCTCTATCTTCTAAGTTTCTGTTTCCCCTCAAAGACTGCCTTTTGAATTGCCAAATTTCTTCCAAATCTTTTCCAAATTGATTCAGAAAGTTTAAAGCTTTGAGTGATTAGATTTGGATTCGGAGATTTGGCCTCTGAATCGGACTGAATCTTCTCCAAATCAAATCGCAAACCGAAGCTTCGCACTGCTCTATCAGATACCATGATGATAGACCAAAGTGGAAGAACTTAGAGAAACCGATGTGAACAGTTGTTTTATAGGGCTGCTCTTTTATGGTTTGTCTTATTAAATACAAAAAAATTAATGAAATACAAAAATGAATTGGAGAGACAGAAGAGCACACAAAATCGTAGTAAGAAAAGCAGAGGTTTAAAGTTGTATAATAACAAACTAATTTGTTGCATATCAAACTACATGAATCTTTCATATTCAGTTTCTGAATATCTTCTGGAAATAGCCTACCAAAAATAATTTTCTCAACCGCATATATCCAAATCAGAATTAATAACTTTAGGAGAATTAATATTCTAGGAGTAATTCAGACATCTTGAATAAATGACTGACTGACAGTATTGTTTTTGATGCTGGTAAATGAGTAGGCATTTTTTGGGCATGAACATATAGCTTAACTTCCATTAAAAATTAAATCCTTAATTTGTGTTGTTTTATTATTGAATATCTGTTCTAACAACCATATGCACATGTGTTTGGTTAGGAGACATCAGGCATGTCTACATGAGATGTCTACTATGTAGTTGACTAATTAACTGCACAGTAAATGTCTTAGCATCTACACATGTGCCCCTACTAGGGCACACAAAACTATTAAACTCTGCAGCAGGGTAGTACTTGTAAATACAAGCACTAGCCTGCTGTGGAGCTTTTCGAGGGCAGTAGTGCATGTGTAGACACTGAGCTGGCTGGCTGGGGCATGAAGGTGCTGTAATGTTCTGGTTGCCTGCCAAATAGCCCTGTGCTGAAGCACCCTCATGCCCCAGCCAGTGCTTCAGCAGCATGTTGACCATGGTTGCAGCAGCCCTAGCCTGACAGGGAGACCTCCTGGGTCCCTTGCCAGCTGGGGCTGTTGCAACTTGGCTCAATGTGCCAGGCATACATGCAGACATCTGCCCAGGAGCTTTTCTGTAGCAATAAACTGCAGATTAATCGAGTCAATCCAAAGTGTTCTAATTGGAATGCACTGGAGTAGGTGTCAGGCACGTGTCTAAGTGCCCTTAAAGAAAATATTTTTTCTTTGCTAAAAAACAGCTTTTGAGGATATATCCAAACTTCCAGACCCCTTCATTTGACATATGTGAGACACTGAAACAGGCCATTTCTAAGGTGCCCCACTTTTTCATTGTTTAAAAGCAACTGAATTTAACATGGCGTTTTAACCTCCTTTCAGCTTGCAACTATGTTATTATTTCTATTGTATTTGGTAACTTTTGCATGATATAAGATAGCCTCTGACTAAATCATATTATGTTCTCTGTTGAAGAAACAAACAATAGTTGTGCAGTTGTTGATATCAGCACTTAAAAAAATAAAGATCCTTTCCAATTTTAAAGTCAATTGCAAAAATATTCAGGTATAATGACATTAAAAGGAGCTGTCTGAACATCTATCCCAGGCCACAAAATCAGATATTTAGTACTGAGCATTGGATCTTGGGGATGAAGAGTAAGTTACAATGAGAGGGGATTTCAGAAAGTATTCTATATAAAAGGTTGTCTTTTATTTTACAGTGAGACTAACCTAAAAGTACGTCAGGCTTTACCAGTTACTTCAGAACTTGGAGCAGATATTAGGAGACTTGCGGAGTTTGATGGTAAGTGGTGATAAAAGTACATTTTTTAGAACCAAGATTTTGTGGGGGAGGGGGTTGTTTGTTTGGTTTTTTTATAGCTTTCTTTTCTTGCTGCTTTCTGAGTAAAAAAGTAAATGACTTCAGATAAATGAGGCCAAGCTCCTCTCTTTTATCATGACTAGATATGTTTACCAATATGATTCTCACATCCCAAATTATTATCCTGTTTTAAGGAATGTCTTGACTGATGTGTTTTTCAATCTTGTTACTTTAAACAAGTTAGATTAATCTGATGGGAAAAGTCTAGTTAAAATGCAGGCAAATGCATTCAAAACCATGTTATCTGGTTGTATTGTATCTTAACTCCCTTTGGCTAATTTGGTTGAAAAGATGAATCTTTTTTTCTGTTCAAAACAATCACTGTGAAATTGAAGAAATGTAATGCATTTCTCTTCCCTCCCCCTACACAGTTAATACATTTACATTTCCTTGACACCAGTGCACTTCTATCATACTCTGAAAAATCTTAGGCACAATATAAATCACGTAGGGTGGGTACATAAGTGCAGGCAGTCTATAGAGGAGACACTCTCACTGATGGTGCTGTACATAATGTGCCATGAGTTAGAGTACCATTGAACCCAACAGGTGCTCACCTGTTGGGTTGGGGTAGGGGACTCAGGGCCTGCCTGCATTGGCCTTGACCGGCAGGCGGGGGCACTCCAGCAGCCTCCCAGGAGGCTGCCATAATTTCTCTCTCTCCACCTTCACCGCCCCGCCAGCTGGCAACTGTCAGCAGTGGCTGGTGGGGAGGGATGGAGTTCCTCCTGCTGTGCATGCCCTCCTCCAGCTACCCCTGCTGGGGTCTTCAGGAGGATCTGGGCCAGGCCTGCATGGTAGGTGGGTGCGAGGCTCCCTTTCCCCCCGCCCCTTTGAGCGCTTCTTGAAAATGGCAGAGCCTGCCATACCCAGAGCTGAGGCGGTGGGGAATAGAACCCCCTGTCCTGCAGGCCCAGCCCAGCTGCCCCCAAGACCCTAGTCAGGGTAACTGGGCCAGGGCCACATGGCAGGGGTCTCCGTTTCTTCCCTCCATGCCCAAGTTCCAGGTGCTGCAGTCTCTGCTGCTGTCCAAATTCTTGTGTGTGGTGGGGGAAGGAAGCCCCACACACTGCAGGCCTGGCCTGGCTGTGCTTCCCCCAGGGGTAGCTGTGGGAAGGGGAGGGGGGCACATGCGGTATGTTCAGTGTATAACAACATTAAATAGCATTCTGTCTGGGCTGATTAGCCCTGCCAAGAAACAGGGAGGAACTGTGGTAATATAGTTATCACCACTTTTTGAGCTTGCTCCGGTATTTCTGCTTGATATTGTATTTAGGGAGGTAGATGTGATCAGTCTCAGAAGTGCAGCTATGAACACGTTCTTTCTTTCTTTCACATCCTGAGCATACAGTTCTGAGAACAGAGCCCTGGGGGGCACCACTGGTCACCATGTGCCATGTTAATTTGGTTCCATCAACTATCACTCTCTGGGTCTGTCCATGAAGCCAGTTCCCCAGCCATTGGGCCATGAAATTGTTGAGGTCACAATTCCTCAATTTTTCCATAAAGGGCATCATGGGACACCAGGTCAAAGGCTTTCTTGAAGTCCAAAAGAGGAGAGGTCTACCTCCTCTCCTTTGTCCAGGTGATGTGTCACCTGGTCATAGAAGGAAATGAGATTGGTCAGACAAGATCTACCCACAACAAAGCCATGTTGGCCATCTCTCAGAATGTTACCTTCTATTAGCCTGTTAATGGTTTCTTTGATTTTTTCCAAGATCTTTCCAGGGATTGAGGTCAAACTGATTGGCCTGTAGTTTCCTAGATCTTCTTTCCACCCTTTTTTGAAGATGGGCACCACATTGGCCCTCTTCCAATCTTCAGGCACCTTACCTGAGCGCCCTGAGTTCTTGAATTTCCTCGCCATTGGCCGTTCTATAACGTCAAGCAGTTCCTTTAGCAGTCTTGGGTGCATGCTGTCTGGGCCGGCTAATTTGTGGATGTCCAGCCTCTCGAGATATTCCCTCACAAGATCAACGCCAATAATGGGGCATGTTTGCCTTTCCCCTGGTGATCCTGAGTCTTGTCAGACAGGGTGATCCCATTGGGCTGTTGGAAGACCGACACAAAGTAGTCATAAAGGAGATTGGCTTTTTCCTGGGTGTCAGCTATCAGCTGCCCCACTTTGTTTAATAAGGGTCCAATATTAACCTTGTTCTTTTTCAGACTTCCCACATATCTGAAGAAGGATTTGTTATTGTCCTTGATTTGTGTGGCCAGTATGAGCTCAGTTTCAGCCTTGACTTTCCTAGTTCACTCCCTACAGGTGTGGGCCAGTGCTGAATACTCCTTCTTAGTGGTGTTTCCCATCTTCCATCCCTTACAAGCTTCTTTTTTTTTGGTGCAGAAGGTACATGATCAGCATTCCCTCTAAGCTGCGTGGTGTGCGCAGCTGTGCAGGTGCGCCTGACAGCACAGCATGAGCACGCCTGCGTAGCTGCACATGCCACACAGCTTAGAAGGAACACTGCCCATGAGTTCCCTATTGAGCCAAGGGGGGTCGCCCAGCCCTTTTGCTGCTTTTTCTGTGGGCTGGAATGGACTTCGCTTGTGCTTCAAGAATTGCATCCTTGAGGAGTGACCACTCATCTTGGACTCCACTCCCTGTTAGATTATGGCTTCTCAGGGCCTCAACAACTAGCCTCCTAAGCTTGTGAAAGTCGGCTTTCCTAAAGTCGAGGACTTCTGGATTGCTGACTGACTTGCCAGCTTTGCAGTGAATAGAGAAGGTGATCAACTTGTGGTCACTGTCTCCCAGCTTCCCTTCAATTCTCAGGTTGCTCACTCGATCATTCCCTTTGGTCAGCACCAGGTCCAGCAGCGCCTTGCCCCTTGTTGGTCCATAGATTTCTTGTGACAAATAGGGCTCATCAATGCTTGTGAGGAAGCATTGCAAATGATCGGATTTGGCTTCCCATGAGATGTCCAGGTAGTTGAAGTTGCCCATGGCAACCATGCACCATGCACCAAGAGCGTGCAGCCTCAGCCAGTTCCCTGGCGAATTTGTGGTCAAGTTCTTGATCTTGAGTAGGAGGTCTGTAGTAGACTTCCATTTGATCATCCTGTATCCTGTCAAGCAGGCTAACATGCTTGGACTAGTGGAATACCGATGTGAAATATTCATTCAGGAGTTCAGTTTTGTCCTGAGTGTCAGTTATCTGCCATCCTATTTCATTCATCAGGGGCCCTATGCTTCCCTTATTTTTTCTCTTGACTTCCTACATATCTAAAGAAGGACTTTTTGTTGTCCTTGATTCTGGTTGCCAATCTGTATTCAGTTTGTGCTTTTGGTGTCCTGATCTGATCCATACAGGTGCAGGCTGTTGCAGAGTACTCCTTTTTGTTAGTTATTCCTGACTTCCATCCTTTGTAGGCTTCTCATTTTAATGATCAGATCTAGCTGAGTGCTCATCCATGAGGTCTCTGGGTAGTTGAAGTCACCCATGATGATCATGCTATGAGTGTGTGCAGCCTCTGTCAGTTCTCCAGCTAATTCCTGGTTGAGCAGTTTCTCTTCATTTGGAGGTCTATAATAAACTCCTACAGTCAAATCCCCTTCCCCATGGTCTCCCCGTATCTTGACCCAGAGGGTCTCAAGCCGCCCTTCTTTGTTTCCAAGCTTCTCTTCTAGGGAGGTGTAATGTTCCTTCACATAGAGAGAAACCCCACTGCCTTTCTTCCCAACATGATCCTTCCTATACAGTGTCCAGTCATAGGTGGAGTTCCACCAGGTCTCCATGATCCCTATGAGATCACATTGGTTGTTGGTTAGTAGGAGGGCCAGTTCCTTCTGCTTGGTTCCCATGCTTCTGGCGTTAGTGTACGGGCAACTAAGCCTGCCACTGGAGGCCATAGCCTTTTGGGTGAGCAGTGGAATAACCTGTCCATTGGCCAGTGTCAGAAAAAGCTTCTTATTGTACCCTGGGGTGCTGGTTTCAAGGTTGACATTTTGAGGGCTTGTGCTAGTGGCTGATGGCCCATCCCCCAGCAATTTCAGTTTAAAGCCCTATCCAGAAGGTCCACCATTCTAGCAGAGAAAAGCTTCTTCCCCTTTGGCATAAGGTGGATGTCATCCTTTCCCAACAGGCCTCAGTCCCAGAGGTGCATGCCATGGTTGAAGAAGCTGAAGCCCTTGCAGAGTCTTCTGTTTATTTCTTCTGTGCATCTATCCCTCCTGTACCCATGACCTGCAACTGGGAGGACTGAGGAGAATACCTGTGTGTCAGACACCTTGAGCCCACCCCTCAGAGCCCTGTAGTCTCTCATGATTTTTCCTGGCCGTGTCATTCATGCCCACATGGATGAGGAGCATGGGGTAGTAGTTGGAGGTCTGGACAAGTTCTGGAATCCTTTCAGCTACATCCTGGATGCGAGCCCCTGGGAGGCAGCAGACCTCACAGGTTAGGGGATTGGGGCAGCAGATTGCTCCCTTGGTCCCGTTCAGGAGGGAGTCACCCACCACGACCACCTTGCATCTCTTCTTTGTGGGGGCTGGCTGCCTGCCTTCTTCCAGAGCTGTTGCTTCCTCTGATGACTCTGCTGGCTCTGTGAGAAGTGCATACCTGTTTCGTGGTTTCAGGGGAGGAGTAACCCTGGTGCTGCATGCGTTGGGGCCGGAGATTTCATAGATTTCATAGACATTAGGGCTGGAAGGTGGGGGCTCAGACAGTAACAAAGTTCTTCCTTATGTCCAGCCTGAAACAGTTTTGGAGGAGTTTGTGACTGTTTGACCTCGTCATCCCATGGGGCATTCTGGTGAACAGACGTTCCCCCAGATCCTTATGTACACCCCTTATATACTTATAGGCAGCTACCAGGTCCCCCCTGAGCCTGCGCTTTTCCAGACTGAAGAGTCTCATAGCTCTCAGCCTTTCATCATAAGGCCTGTTTTCCTGTCCTCTGATCATGTGTGGCTCTCCTCT